GAGCAGGATACTGGTTCCATTGAAACCTGGGGCATATAGTTTCCCAGTAGACACATCATGAGAACCCTCGTGACCAAGCTGACTTTCACCTTCATGTACTGGGAACGCCCAGGCAGTGGTAATTTGCTGCCTGCTGCCTGCGTTCTGCACCCTTGCATGTGTTGCCTTGTGTCCACATGAAACTGTTAGGGACACTTAAAAAAAGAAATTTCTCTACAGCACTGACATAAATGAATTGTACAGCTGCATATTACCTATAACATTTATGACTCACAGGAACAGAATGTCAAGAGAAGTAAGCAAGCCACAGAAGAACACATGATTAGGTTTTCATTTACTTAAAATCAAAACCAGACAAGACTATGTAATATATAGTTTAGTGATATGTTCAAGTATGATAAAACTACCCAGAATTCAGTATGTTGGTTTCCTTGGATGGAAGGAAAGAGCTACCATAGAGGAAGGACATCCAGGGGTCTTCAGAGTTACTAGTAATGCTCGATTTCTTAGGCTAGGTAGTGAGTACATAGGCATCTGGGTTTTGTTGTTGCTCCAGTTTTTTTCTTTTTTTTTTTTTTTTTTTTTTTTTTTTTGAGACAGAGTCTCGCTTTGTTGCCCAGGCTAGAGTGAGTGCCGTGGCGTCCTAGCTTATAGCAACCTCAAACTCCTGGGCTCAAGCGATCCTTCTGCCTCAGCCTCCCGGGTAGCTGGGACTACAGGCATGCGCCACCATGCCCGGCTAATTTTTTATATATATATCAGTTGGCCAATTAATTTCTTTCTATTTATAGTAGAGACGGGGTCTCGCTCTTGCTCAGGCTGGTTTTGAACTCCTGACCTTGAGCAATCCGCCCGCCTCGGCCTCCCAAGAGCTAGGATTACAGGCGTGAGCCACAGTGCCCGGCCTCCAGTTTTTTTCTTTAACTCGCATGTGTACATTTCACACACTGTCACAGACATAAAAAGAAAATCACATAGATGTTACATCATAATATTTCCCCAGTAGTGGTAAATGTTCACTCGTGACACAAGCTGGACTGTTGGAAGATTTTTATTTGTACAGCCAGTTGTCTGAAAGAGGAAAACCCAAATTCTTCATTGACACTTGATGTCTTGTTTTGTCCTGAGGGCTCGTCCCTCTCCTGTTGGAATTCCAGGGATGCAGGGGTCAGTCAAAGGCAAAACCATGTTGTAGTCCCTTACTGCTTTTGGGGGCAGTGATTTTTTTCCTCTTACCTTGGGTTTTCTTATTCACAGGATGGAAAAGGAAGGCAGAACTCATCCACTAAGGGCACCAAGGATGAGACAAGGAGCCAGGGAGGAGCTCTCCAGGACTTGGCTATTCCAGTCCCTGAGAAACTCCTGCAAAGGCATGTCCCTTTAGACTACAGTCTGATAGTCAAACATGCAAAGCAGATACCAGAAGTATTATCATTTCAAGTGGATTAGGATCTCAGAAACCAGAGCACTGACACTAGGCCACCCAGTGAGTCACTTCATTTATCTCTTGTGGGCTCCGAGAATAAAAACAAAGTTACTGCTCAAAGAGCCAGGCTGAGGGGTGACTGCAATCATAGGACAGATCCTGTTTACTGAGACCTTGTCCTGGGCTGTGCCCCATAATGAGTGGTTTTTCAGCATTGTCTGTGAATTTCTGTTGTAGTCTTTTTGATTTTGTTTTGAGGCTCAGAGTAGAGGGGGAGGAAGTGCTGGAGATGACCTCCTTCATCCACCTCTTTCTCATCTTCCCAGTGAATAGGTGGAACACGTCAACTTCTCCCATCTGTGCTTTTTTTCCAGAAGCTCTGGAAGGATTTTGACATTTGTCCAGGAGGCCCTTGAGTGATAAGAGATACTGGACATGTTTCTGAGAGCTCCTTCTTGGAGGTACACAGGTAGAGGGATGAGCCCATGGAAGGGTGCAGATATTAGGCAGTAGGTTGGGGAGCAGTTTCTTTCTCATGGCACTCTTATCGCTGGAAACAGTGAACAGAGTCATCTTGTTGCAGATTGATAGGCTGTGGTTTTAGGTCTTGGATGAGCTCTCTAGTGCTGGTGGAAGGAGTTGGGAGAAGCAGTGGATGGCTGTTGGGCAGCACTGTGGCCTGTTGAGGAAGCAGAGAATGCACACTATCAGGCTAGTCACACCTGGGTTTTGCACAGAGGGAAATTGAAGGAAAAAAGGAGAGAACTGAAGGAACCCAGTGTGGTACAGTGCTTTGGCATCAGACAAACTTAAGTTCTATATCTAGCTCCATTGCCAAGTAATTCTGTCACTTTTGGGGAAATTTCTCTAAGTTCGAGTTCCTTCATCAGTTCTATGAGAAAAATAGTACCACCTCTTACAATTGTTGTGAAAACAGAAAACTATAATATATATGATATGCTTCGTGCTTAGTTAATACTGAGTAAAACTTGTTCCCAACCCTTTCACTGGGCAAAACAGAGATTAGAGCTAAATCCTGTCCTAGAGGATCTGCCCTTGATGTGGATGAGAGGAATGTCACAAATTTCTGAACAACAAGGGAAAATGGGGGGACCAATGGCTATGAAGCCTCAGTGACATTAGAGGATAGGCGTTGGGAGGGAGGCAGCTGGAAGGGTGATGGGGTGCTGGAGTCAGAGAGCAGCTGCTAGGGTTGGAGATTGCAAAAGTTCCAACATTCTGGTGCAGCTTTACTGCTGTGGAGTTGGCGTTTAGGAGGGTGAGGCCAGAGGGTACCACAGGCCATCTCCCTGAGCTCTCAAGGAATGGATGTTGGAAGGGAAGACTGAGCATGGTTAGAAGTTTTTAGAAATGTGGCGTGATCAGAAAGGCAGTAGATCTGAGCAGTGAAGGAAGTGGGGGGGTAGACTGTCTCTAAGGGAATGAATGTATCATGTCAAAGTGGAGGTAAAAGGATTGGGAGCAGCAGTGGGAATCTTGGGGTTGGTGCAGGATGAGGCTGGGGCAAGAGTGGCCTCATTTCAAGAGGGCCACAGGGCAAGGCAGTGTATAGGGAAGCCTGGCTACTTGTTAGAGGGTGAGAGATTTACAGGCTTGAACCTAGACGGCTTGAACTGGGCTGGCTGGTCACTGCTGCTGCTGCCCCAGCTGGTAGGGTTGACATGTCCCTCCTGTTGGACATCTAGTTTGAGAGGCAGGCTTCAGTCCTTCCTCTTGTGCCTAAAAACTGCCTCACCTCCCCCACTTCTTCCCATGCCCCATTAATGAACACTAACTAGGCCCCTCCCTTCCTTCTGAAAACCCACCTCCTCAGGAATCCTTCTGAACCTGCAATCTTCGGATCTTCACCTAGGAAGCAAAGACAGCCCCCAGACTTTTGGTCTTTGCTCTTCTTGTCATTACAACCTACAGAGCTTTGGGCGCTGCTTTTCTAGAGCTACAACTTGAGGAATGAATCAGTCGCTCTTCTTTGTCTCTTATCCTTTGCCTCGGTAATAAGATATTAATGGAAATATACTCAAGGCTGTACCTTTATCTCCTCTTTGTATATGAAAACATGGAAAGAAAGGCTATTACTGCTTGGAAGGCTGGCTCACTTCTATAATCCTAGCACTCTGAGAGGCTGAGGCAGGAGGATCGCTTGACCTCAGGAGTTTGAGACCGGCCTGAGCAGGAGTGAGATCCCATCTCTACTACAAATAGAAAAAAGGCCGGGCGTGGTGGCTAACACCTGTAATCCTAGCACTCTGAGAGGCTGAAGCAGGAGGATCACTCAAGGTCAGGAGTTTGAAACCAGCCTGGGCAAGAACGAGACCCCATCTCTACTAAAAATACAAAGAAATTAATTGTCCAACTAAAATATATAGAAAAAATTAGCCAGGCATGGTGGTGCATGCCTGTAGTCCTAGCTACTTGGGAGGCTGAGGCAGAAGGATTGCTTGAACCCAGGAGTTTGAGGTTGCTGTGAGCTAGGCTGACGCCATGGCACTCTAGCCCGGGCAACAGAGTGAGACTCTGTCTCAAAGAAGAAAAAAAAAAAATTAGCCAGACATGGTGGTGTGCACCTGTTGTCCCAGCTATTCGGGAGGCTAAAGCAGGAGGATCATTTAAGCCTAGGAGTTTGAGGTTTCAGTGAGCTATGATAATGCACCACTGCACTCTAGCCAGGGTGACAGAGCAAGACTTTGTCTCAAGAAAAAAGAAAGGCTGTTACAGGAACAGAGAAAATCCAGCATGGACTAGCCTCAAAGACCAACCTCACCCAGGGATCTTATGGGTACCCTGGGTGCTTCTTTCAGGTTTCCAAAGCAAGCCCAGGCCCAGCCTTAATCTCTGTCTTCTTAGTTGTCCATGTTTTCTGTTGTCTGCTCCCCATGGCGTAGATTGAGCTACTCTGTATGATCTTGGCCACTCAGGAAGCAGCAGGTATGCTTAGACTTGAATCCTTGTCCTGAGGAACCCACATCCAGTGTCCACCTGCCACTTAACTTTGCTTTTGTGAACTACAGAACAGAAAGCTCCCAGTGTTTGTGCTCCTTTGCTGTGCACAAGGACCCTTAGGCTACCTTCACCACTTCAGCTGAGACCCTAGTGCTCCTCCTTCAGCCCTAAGTGAGAGATATGGTCTCTTTAGGGCTGAGCCAGATTCTGCCAATGAAGGAGAAAGAGGAATCTATAAACTCAGTAATGGAACAGATATACCCAAGTCTTTTAGCTTGTTTCTCTAGAAGACACCCATTGATGATACCTGTAAGAGAATGTGAATTTTGCTTCTCCCATCAGCTGATAGTTTATTCACTTGGATTTTTTTGCTAATTCTTATGTAAAGACTGTGTCTGATGCCTCATTTTTCTCTGAGACTCGAGGGTGGATGGGGAGTTACTTTGGCTTCCTCAGAGCACAGAGCTCAGCGTACAAGTCATGTAACTTAAGTGCTACTGTTACTGATCTTCAGTTACCACTCTGGTGTGTCCTGGTGCCTAAAAAGGGACACTGGCATCTGGCCCCCAGGATCCAGCTCTCCAGCTCTGATCAGCTCTCTTTTTCCTTCCAGGGAATGTGAATTTCTTCTCTAGTGGCCTTCTGTTTTCTCACCGTCATCACGGAAGTATCATCATTTCCAAGGATCACATGAATTCCATTTCCTTCTATGATGGGGTAGGTGTTTTACTGGCCTTGATGAGGCTCCACTGACACCTTAGCATGGGACAGAATTATAAGTGAGCCAAAGAGGGAAAGAAATGGCTAATTTTCCTGATAATGATAATTTAATTTATTGAAGTATACTTTCAATACAATTAACTATGTTCATTTAAAGCTTTGAGACAGAATCTCATTCTGTTGCCCGGGCTAGAGTGCTGTGGCGTCAGCCTAGCTAACAGCAACCTCAAACTCCTGGGCCTAAGCAATCCTTCTGCCTCAGCCTCCCAAGTAGCTGGGACTATAGGCATGCACCACCATGCCCAGTTAATTTTTTCTGTATTTTTAGTTGTCCAGCTAATTTCTTTCTATTTTTAGTAGAGATGGGATCTCACTCTTGCTCAGGCTAATTTCGAACTCCTAACCTTGAGTGATCCTCCTGCCTCGGCCTCCCAGAGTGCTAGGATTACAGGCATGAGCCACCAGACCAGCCTCTACCTTTTTTTTGAGACAAGAGTCTTGTTCTGTTGCCCTGGGTAGAATGCAGTGGCGTCATTGCAGCTCACTACAACCTCAAACTCCTGGGCTCAAGTAATCCTCTTGCCTCAGCCTCCCAAGTAGCTGGGCTACAGGCGCATGCCATGATGCCTGGGTAATTTTTCTATTTTTAATAGGGACAAGGTCTCACTCTTGTTTAGGCTGGTCTCAAACTTCTGAGCTCAAGTGATCCTCCCACCTTGGTCTCCCAGAGTACTAGGATTACAGGAGTGAGCCATCACGCTCAGCCTTCCCTCTACTCTTGACTTCAGATAACAACTGATTAGTTTTTTTATCACTGTATATTAGTTTGCATTTTCTAAAATGTCATATAAATGAACATCATACATTCTGTACCCTTTGAGTCTGGCATTTTCCACTCAGCATAATGATTTTTAGATTCATCCATGTTGTTGTGTACATTTATAGCTGGTTCCTCTTTATTGTTGAGTAGTTTTCATTGTATGGATATATCATGAAATTTGTCAGACTAGTTAGTAATATAAAACTCTAAAAAGTATTTCAGGTGATAGAGACAGGGAGAGGTTTTATGGGTACAGTTACAATTAGAAAGGATGAGTAAATTCTCATGTTTTATTGCGCAGTAGGGTGACTATACTAAGCAATAAATTATTAAACATCTCATAATAGCTAGAAGAGAAGACTTTGAATGTTCCCACCTGAAAGAAATGATAAATGTCTGAGGTGATAGATATGCTAGTTATCCTGTTATATAAATTGAATAAAAAATTATTATTATTATTTTTGAGACAGAGTCTCACTTTGTTGCCCAGGCTAGAGTGAGTGCCATGACGTCAGTCAGCCTAACTCACAGCAACTTCAAACTCCTGGGCTCAAGCAATCCTCCTGCCTCAATCTCCCGAGTAGCTGGGATTACAGGCATGTGCCACCATGCCCGACTAATTTTTTCTATATATATTAGTTGGCCAATTAATTTCTTTCCATTTATAGCAGAGATGGGGTCTCGCTCTTACTCAGGCTGGTTTCAAACTCCTGACCTTGAGCAATCCTCCCGCCTTGGCCTCCCAGAGTGCTAGGATTACAGGCATGAGCCACCATGCCTGGCCAAAAATTATTCAGTTTTGACACAGTGTATACATGTATTGAAACAACAACAACAACAAAACAACAAAACACATCATATCCCATAAATATGTACAATTATGTGTCAGTTAAAAATAAAAATATTTCAAAAATAGAATTAAAAGGCAAAAAAAATGGAAAAAACATTTTTTGCTGATTAAAACAAATGAGTTGTTATTTCTTTTTTACAAAACGCTCTATCTTTATTAACATGCACACACTGAGTCCCAGGTCAGGGGTGTTCAGAGGATGTGAGGCTACTTAACAAATATAGGGAAGCGCATCAGAAACAGCCTCCTGCTACCATGTACAACAGGAAATAAGCAAAGAGCAAACAAAGGGAACTGTTGGCAGAGGAGAACTGGAATATCTAATGTGAATGTCCAGCCATGGTGGGGGGGTGCACCTAACAAGGGAGTAGAATGCAGTCACTGGAAATGTTTACAGATAGTATGCGTTAAATAACATGGCAGATAGTAATGGTAAGGTAAGTTTTCAAAACAGGATATGGAACTGTAGTAATAAATATGACTTCCCGCCACATAAAAAAGATAAGTCAATGAATGAGTAGGAAAAAAAGACTAGAAGGAAAAGTACATCAAATGTTAGCAATAGTTGGGTTTAGGTGATGGGACTTTGGGTTAATATTTTTTTAACTTCCTTATTCTATTTTTTTTTTCAAAATTTTATTTAATGAACATACTACTTTTATAATGATAAATTAAATGTTCTTTTTTTTTTTTTTTTTTTTTTTTGAGACAGAATCTCACTCTGTTGCCTAGGCTAGAGGCACCATGGCATCAGCCTAGCTCATAGTAACCTCAAACTCCTGGGCTTAAGCAATCTTTCTGCCTCAGCCTCCTCAGTAGCTGGGACTATAGCCACCATACCTGGCTAATTTTTTCTATATATTTTTAGTTGTCCAATTAATTTCTTTCTATTATTAGTAGAAACGGGTTTCACTCTTGCTCAGGCTGGTTTCGAACTTCTGACCTTGAGCGATCCTCCCTTCTTAGCCTCCCAGAGTGCTAGGATTATAGGTGTGAGCCACCACGTCCAGCCTAAATGTTCTTTTAAAAAAAAGAACTTACCCTCTTCCCCTAAGATTGGGAACAAGGATGCCAGCTTTTGCCACTTCTATTCAACATACTATTGGAAGTTCTAACTAGAGCAGTTAGGCAAGAAGGAGAAATAAAAGGCATACAATTTGAAAGAAAGAAGTAAGACCATGATATAGTCTTACATGTAGAAAACCCTGAAGATTCCAGCAAAAAAACCATTAGAGCTAATAAACAAATGTACCAAAGTTGTAGGGTACAAAAATCAACACACAAAAATCAGTTACATTTCTATACCCTAGCAATGACCAAACTGAAAAGGATATTGAAAAAACAGTTTACAATCGAATTAAATGCTAAGAAACAAATTTAACCCAAGAATGTGGAAGACTTGTACATTGTAAACTATAAAACTTTGCTTAAATATTAAAGATGACCTAAATGAATGGAAAGATACCCATGTTCATGGATCAGAAGACTTAATATTTTTAGGACAACAATACTACCCCAAACAATGTACAGATTCAATACAATCTCTATCAAAATCCCAGTGGCAATTTTTGCAGAAATAGGAAAACGCATCTTAAAATTCATATGGAATCTCAGGAGACCTCAGTTAGTCAAAACAATCTTGAAAAGGTAAAACAAAGTTGGAAGACTCACACTTCCTTATTTCAAAATTCATAGGCCAGGCGCAGTGGCTTAAGCCTGTAATCCTAGCACTCTGGGAGGCCGAGGCGGGCAGATCGCTCAAGGTCAAGAGTTCCGTACCAGCCTGAGCAAGAGCGAGACCCTGTCTCTACTATAAATAGAAAGAAATTAATTGGCCAACTAATATATATAGAAAAAATTAGCCAGGCATGGTGGCGAATGCCTGTAGTCCTAGCTACTTGGGAGGCTGAGGCAGGAGGATTGCTTGAGCCCAGGAATTTGAGATTGCTGTGAGCTAGACTGACGCCAGGGCACTCACTCTAGCCTGGGCAACAAAGCGAGACTCTGTCTTAAAAAAAAAAAAAAAAAAAAAAAATTTATACAAACCCACAGTAACCTGACAGTGTGATGCTGGAGTAAGGTCAGACAATACAGACCAGTGGAAGAATAGAGAACCCAGAAAGAAATCCTTGCATCAAATCCCAAAACCAATGTTAGTAAGACAGTGTTTTTTAACAAATGGTGCTGGGAAACTGGATATCCATGTGTAAAAGAATGAAGTTGGACTCTTATCTTACACTATATACAAAAATTAACTCAAAATGGATCAAAAAACCTAAACATAAGAGCTAAAACAATAAAACTCTTAGAAGAAAATATAGGAGAAAATCTTTGTGACATTGGATTTGGCAATGATTTTTTGGATATGACTTCAAAAGCACAGACAACAAAAGAAAATCTATAAATTGGACTTTATCAAAATTTTAAAATTCTGTGCATCAAAGGACACTATAAAGAGAGTGAAAAGATAAGCCACAGAATAGGGGGAAATAATTGCAAATCACATATCTGATGAGGATTTAACCCTTTGTACTCGCTTGCTTTTTTCTTGATTCCTTTATTTTACTTGGGATTTAATTTTTTTAAATACCCCAGATTTTACAAAGTGCAGCAGTAGAATAAAAAACTGGAGTTTCTTTTCATACAAACTTATTTATTTGGATTTTTTGTTTTTTTTTTTGTATTATTTTATATTTTTAATTTTATTTCCTCTTTTTTCACAAAGACAAAGGAGATGTATTGGATTTTTTTATATTTCAAATTATTGATACATTCAAAGAGAATTTTTTTTCTTTTTTTTTTTTTGAGACAGAGTCTCATCTTGTTGCTCGGCTAGAGTGAGTGCCGTGGCATCAGCCTAGCTCACAGCAACCTCAAACTCCTGGGCTCAAGCAATCCTCCTGCCTCAGCCTCCCGAGTAGCTGGGACTACAGGCACATGCCACCATGCCCGGCTAAGTTTTTCTATATATATCTTAGTTGGCCAAGTAATTTCTTTCTATTTATAGTAGAGACGGGTCTCACTCTTGCTCAGGCTGGTTTTGAATCCCTGACCTTGAGCAATCCGCCCGCCTTGGCCTCCCAGAGTGCTAGGATTGCAGGCGTGAGCCACCGCGCCCAGCCGAGTAATTTTAATCTCTATAACTTTTCATGGTGTGATGTTTTTTGAAACATTCACCCACATGAAGACCTAGTTTACATTCACGTGTTTTGCAAATATAAATAGTCTCTCTTCTTTCTCCTTTGATTTTTCTGTTAGAACAAACAACACAATCTTTGTGTTTTTTGTTAGGTGAGGTGTGATTATATGGAGCTTTCCATCTAAACATTGCTCTAAGTTAGTGGATAATAATCTATCCCTGGAAGTTAGTGTACCATCTCTGCATTTACATTTTACTTGTCCTTTCATGCTAATGAAAACAAGAAAAGATACTGGAAAAATAGACAAAAATCCCCCTTCCCCACGCAGTGAAACTACGTTTCGAGTGTGGCTCGATATACAAGTTGCTATCGATGCTAACTGTCAAGTCACACTCGACATCCGAGTGCAACGGGTTAATACCCTAGGATGAATTTTGATGTGACATTTTAGCTTAAGGGAAAAAATTCTTGTGCTTTCTGTATCTCCTATAACTGAGTATTGGAAAGCACATCTATATTAAACCCAGTAAACCATATAATGTGAAAATAATTGCACTGAAATTGATCCTGTGTGTTCTGCCAGTAGTTTCAAGGGCTGGAATCATGCAAATGGCTCTCCTCACTGATGCTTCTTCCTCTTTCTCTCTTTAGGATTCTACCAGTATTGTTGCTGCCCTTCTCATAGACTTCAAAAGCTCAATGCTTCCTCATCTCCCAGTTCATTTACATGGATCAAGCAAATTTCTGATGATTGCCCTTTTCCCCAAATCAAAGATATACCAAGCATTTTACTCAGAGGTAACATCGGTCATTACTCAGCACAACAACTACTATTTTTTTTCTGTAGCAATTTAGATGGTAAGGCAGTGTCTTGGAGCTAACAGTGAGGTGATGAGAAGGAGAGTTGGCTGGTGGTGGGGGTGACTTCGGGTTCTAGAATGGTGCTCTTGGCAGTGAGGGGTGAGAGCCTAAAGAAACTGAACAAAAGGCTTTTTAGCCTTTAAGAAAAATCTGCTTTGTTCCCTTTAAATCCTAATTAGACTTACTTCCCTTTTAGTTACTTTATTGAATTGTCAGGCCCTACCTACTGGATTAGAGCTCTCTCCCCCACCCTGTGCTCTCTGTCCCTGTGGGGCACAGTCACTGCCCTTGTGAATGGTGCCACCTGCCAATCTGCACATTATAGGTGCTCAGCACAGATTACACGAGTGAAGAGCTTGCCAAGAATTGTACGACCCACTTAGAGACCAAGCAGTGGCCAAAGTTAAACTGATGGCCAGCCTCATGACTGGTAGGAATTCTTGGAAAGGCGTGATTGCCACAGCTTGTGAGGGGACAGCGTCCCTCTCTTAGGACAGATTTGCAAAACGTGGAAGAGAGAGGAGCTGACTGGCTGTAGAGTGGCTTCTCAGCCCATCCTGTGCCTCTCTCATACTGCCTGCTGGAGCCTCTTACCTCCTGTGCTTGTCCTTCCGATCTGGAAAATAGAGACAGCCCTTTGGATTCCCTGCAGCCAGCCCTCTGCCTCCAGGCAGGAGTTACTTGAACCACTCCTGTCTGTCTGCCCCATCACCAGGGAACCAGAACATCGTCACCCGACACCTTCCTCCATGCTTCCTGAGCTCTGAAGAAGCAGAATCCCTGAGGAGAAGGAACCCAGAAAGACTTCTGGTTTTAAAAAACACAGAACAGAATTGCTTCAGGCCTCTATTTTTGAAGCAAATTTGTTTGTTATAGTGGTTTTTCTCTGCACTGACAGTCTAGCTTTTCAACAACCATCAAATCCCCATGTGGGTTCCATATCCTGTTGTTGAGTTTAAAGTGTTCTTTGCTCAAATTGTGTTTTGTTTAGGTCTTCTCCCCCTGGCAACAGCAGGATAACTCAGGGCTCTCTTTAAAAGTGATCCAGGAAGATGGATTATCTGTGGAACAAAAGAAATTGTAAGTGGCTGCCTTCAGTGTTTGTGCTTGCTTCCCTAAGCTTTGTGGGTGTGCTCTCTCTGCAGGATGCCTGGTGTTATGTAACACAGGGGTCCTGGCTTCTGAAAGGGCCAGCACAGTCATTTCAATGCTGCCAACTTGCAGGTAGCTGGTGTCCTTGGACAGAGAAACCAAAAGAGAGAAAATCCACCAAGAATCAGCAACTCTTAACAGTATTGTCGAGGGATTTGGAGCCAGCCTTCCTATGTGGGCATACTAGTCATCACGCACTAATGCCACATTTTATTTAAGTCACAGAGATGCTTGTTTTGGAAGAGTTGACTCTGTCACTGGCCTCTGGCTTGAAAGGATCAGAACAAGTTGTGTAAAGTGTGTGTGCTGTAGGGAGAGGGAGTTCTAATCTGTGAGCTTTTGATATTCTAGACACTCCAGTGCACAGAAGCTCTTCAGTGCCCTGAGCCATCCTGCTGGGGAGAAACGGAGTTCTCTAAAGTTACTCTCAGCTAAACTCTCAGAGCTGGACTGGTGAGCTCTGCTTTTCTGTTTTTAAATGCTTAATGTTTTGACTTTTCAAATGTTGGAAACCTCAATGTTGGTCCTTCCTAAGCTCCTTTTTCTTTGTAGCTTCTTGGGGATCATTGTAAAAGGTAGTAGTGACACACTATGTGCAATTTTATTCTCTAGAGAGAACCTAGAGAATAGGTTTATTTTTCAGCAATTGAGTAAGAGTTTCTCATGTGATCATTTAGGTAAGTCTGGTGATGGTAACATGATAGCATTGTCTTTGTTTTTTTAGGTTTCTCCAGCATTTTGCCATCAGCAGCATTAGTCAGGAGCCTGTGATGCGGACCCATCTCCCTATCCTGATGAAGCTAGCTGAAATCAACCCTACTCACAACAGAGTAGAAAATGACAAGGTAGAGGAGTTCACCAAATGTACTGGGAATCCATGGGAAGATAATCCTGAGAGCCTGCCTTTGGATCTTTTGTGTAGTTAACAAAGGGAGCTCAGGTGGAGTCCCTTTTATAAGACTCTCCGCCTCCTTGGATACTGACACAATGATACACATAACCCTCTCTGTACAATGACTGTGTTAGGTGTCTACATTAACCCTGGCCATGCCCCATGACAGTGATAAAATCCTGGCATCCTGCCTTGCCATATCCTGGCCTCTCCAGGTCTTTTAAACTTTTGCTCAGTGCTCTCTTCTGTCAGCTCTTTCTGGTTGTGACAAGGACTTACCTGGCAGTGGTTGATACATTGTGCTTAATAAGGGGTGGGTGTCCATCTTTTTAGGTCCTTGCTGGAATCACCAGGGTTAAGTGATACTTTGTAAACATTATCTTCCCCAGAGTGGATTTTAATCCCTCCTGCCTCAGGCTTCCCTCCACTTGACTCCCTCCCACCATTCCTTTGCAGCCATATGTCATAACAGACTGAAAGAAGGTATTTATTTCTGTGGAAATCTATAAGATACTCAGCTGCAAAAGGAAATAGAAGCAGTAAGCAAGTAGAAGCACCATTTTTTCCCTTAGCCGGTAGTATAAAAAGCCTGAAAATGCCCACTTGTTATATTTTTTGAAAAGGTGCTCTAGGACTGGCCTTAAAGTATGAATGTATCTGGCTGTATGCACTGTGCTGTGATTTGAGGGCTAAGACCTGGACACTGAGGAATAGGAGCTCATATGGGGAGAGTTGGATGGGAGGAAGATAAACAAAATGTCAGTTACATAGAATAGTGCCCCAGAAGGCAAAAGGGGATTCACTCTAGAGGCACTGGTCAGAGGGGACCAGGGAGAGCTTCTGGGTACCACAAAAGAAGAGAAAGCCACAGCCGTCTTCTCTGTGCGGATATGTGGTCAGCTCAGGTGGTAAGTGCCTTCAGTCTGAGCTTTAGCATAAGTTACCTGTGACTGGGCCTGCCCTAGTGAATCTTTTGTATTGTGAAATAAAACACATAGAGGCCCTTGTCATGCTGTCCCATTCACATAGACCTCCTTCAGTAACTGCATGGTTCTTGACCTCCCCTGAATGACTCTTTTTTTTTCAGTGAATTTCTTTTTTTTTTTTTTTTTTTTTGAGACAGAGTCTCACTTTGTTGCCCAGGCTAGAGTGAGTGCCGTGGCGTCAGCCTAGCTCACAGCAACCTCAAACTCCTGGGCTCAAGCGATCCTTCTGCCTCAGCCTCCCGAGTAGCTGGGACTACAGGCATGCACCACCACGCCCGGCTAATTTTTTTGTATATATATATTAGTTGGCCAATTAATTTGTTTCTATTTATAGTAGAGACGGGGTCTCGCTCTTGCTCAGGTTGGTTTCGAACTCCTGAACTCAAAGGATCCGCCCGCCTCGGCCTCCCAGAGAGCTAGGATTACAGGCGTGAGCCACCGCGCCCGGCCTTTCAGTGAATTTCTTAAGTTAACTTTAGAATATCTACCTGAGGAGGGGCCTGGTTTTGTGCCATTGTATAATAAGGTTAGGACAATCCAGCCAGGCTTCTCTTCTCCTCGAGAGTCAGAAGTGCTTCCCACAACCAGTGAGTTTTGACTTAGCTCAGGCAGTGTGGCTTGGAGGGCGCAGGCAGCCAGGCAGAAACACCCCAGCACCACTCCTGTCTGCAGAGTTTACCACTCCAGGGTAGCCAAGGGCATTTTCTTTCTGGACCTCCTTTCTGCCCGTTATTTTCCTAAGAAGTGTTACTGTTGCAGATAAGTCATAAATATCCTGAGTCTGCTTTACAAAAGCCATTGGTCTCAGGTAGGCCTTTTAATGCATTGTATTTTAACTGATCTATTCACAACCTGCTGTATAGAAATTCTAGTAGTAACACTGCATTTGTATGGTATTTGCTATGTGTCTGGCACTGTTCTAAGCACTTTTCATATGTTAATTCTGACACCCACCCTACAAGGTTGGTTCTGTCATTGGTTCCAAGGTCATAGAATTAGTGAGTGGTGGTCCTGAGGTTCAAGCCCACAGAGCTTGGCTCCCAAACCTCTTCTTACACAATGCAATGCAGTTGAATTGCAAACCCACATGACTTTTCTTTCATGTAGGTAATTATCAGCATTGTAACCGGCCTCCCAGGCTGTCATGCTAGCGAGCTCTGTGCTTTTCTGGTCACTCTGCATAAAGAATATGGCAGGTTAGTATGGCTACTGCCTTTGCTTTGGGGAAAGGGATTCTATCCCTGGGCCTCCCTAGGCACTGGGAAACCTTAGACATGTACTGGCCCTTGGTGTGACTGGTATTGGCACAGTAGTCATCTGTCCCTGTAACAGACTATGCTGCTCCCTTCCAGTGTTCCAGGCACTGTTCTGAGTGTGAGGGAATACACTGATGAATGAAACAGACAAGAAAATCTCTTCCCTCAAAGAGCTTACATTCTAGTTTGGGAAAACAACCAGATAAGAAAAACATAGTACTATTAGCTAGTGAAAAGTGCTGTGGAGAAAATAGAGAAAGAAAAATACAGGAAGTGTAGGGCTGGGAGTGAGATTCCAGTTTTTAATTGGAAGGTCAGGGAAGACCTCATTCAGAAGGTAACATTTGAGCAAAACTCGAAAGAGTAAGGGAATGAACCATGCAGATATATGGGGGAGAGCACTGTAGCAGCAGGATAGCAAGTGCAAAGGCCTGAGAATGTGCCTGGTTGGCCGGGAAACCTCAAGGCCATGATGGTTTTAGGAACTTGGGAGCTGGTAGATAAAGTGATCCTCCCATGACCGCAAGGAGACTACATGAGTTCAGGTGCCACTTGAACAGTTTGGTTCAGGTGAAATTGGGACAACATTCATCCATCACTTCCACCTGGCTGTCAGATTACTAAACAACCCTGCTGACTGAACCAGGCATTTAGTAGATAGTCAGTCTACCCCAAAGTAAGGCCTCCTTCAGGAGACTGTAAAGGAATTGAAAAGACTGAGATTGCCCAGAGAGTTGGCAGTTTAGGGTGGGGGTGAGCAGGTGAGTTCTGGAGAGATGCTTAGGGACATATTGGACCTTGTTTATTAAGTACTAAATGGTTAAGCAGTTCCTCATGTCTAGTGCTTTCATTCTATAAACATTCTGAGTTCTTCACTCTGTTTCTTACTCTTAGCAAGAGTATTACTGAGCATCAGATTGAAGCCAATTTTTGTGTGGTCCTCCAAGAAGTGACTGCCTCTCAGCTCTGAAGTCTGTTGGTCATGTGCTTTCCTGATCATTTTCCCTTTGGCAAGGGGTTTCCTGTTAAAAGCCCCAGTGATAATGGTTTGAGGATACTGGGCTCCGAACCCAGCCAGTGCCCCCTGCCTTTTTTATGGTGCCAGAATTGTTTTCCCCTATATGAATTCACTGGACAGAATGTCTGGGAGAACTGGTCACATTTGAAGCCATGGCTAAGCCTATGGGGCCAGGCCGTCAGGTGGCCCCCAGGTTGAGATTACATTTGCCATTTCCAGGTGGATGGTGTACCGCCAAATCATGGATAGCTCCGAATGTTTTCATGCTGCTCACTTCCAGAGATACCTTTCCAGTGCCCTGGAGGCCCAACAGAACCGCTCTGCCCGCCAGTCAGCCTACATCCGCAAGAAGACCAGACTGCTGGTGGTGTTACAAGGGTGAGCATTGGAAGTCTTCTGGGCATAATTGAGTCAGGGTGGTGACCTTGTCGTTACTGTTACCTCATGTGTAGCATACCTGGGGCACAAGGCCAGGCGAGGTGGCTCACGCCTGTAATCCTAGTACTCTGGGAGGCCAAGGCGGGTGGATTGCTCGAGGTCAGGGGTTCAAAACCAGCCTGAGCAAGAGCAAGACCCCATCTCTACTATAAATAGAAAGAAATTAATTGGCCAACTAATATATATAGAAAAACTTAGCTGGGCATGGTGCCACATGCCTGTAGTCCCAGCTACTCAGGAGGCTGAGGCAGGAGGATCGCTTGAGCCCAGGAGTTTGAGGTTGCTGTGAGCTAGGCTGACACCACGGCACTCATTCTAGCCTGGGCAACAAAGCGAGACTCTGTCTCAGAAAAAAAAAAAAAAAGAAAGCCTGGGGCACAGAACAAATTCCACACATGCATGAGCAGTGCCTATGCTGCAGAGAGGCCTTAACGAGGCAAAGACCCTGTTGTCATCCTATGGCCTAGAGTAGCTGTTGTCATTTGCATACAACTCATAAGTTTGGCTTCAACATCACAATATCCCTCAAAGGTGGAGAATTTGAGAATCTGGGCCAGGTTCTTTGATAATTCTTATAACAAAAGTAGTCCCTAAGCCTCTTCCTTTGCCATCTAGATAAGAGAGCTTCATATGTTTCAGTCTTCCCTCCTGTGGAATTGCAGAGATGTCCCCCACACTCTGCAGTCTCCAGCCCCACCAAATCCTAGATGGCTGGCCCAGGACAGTTTCCTGGGACCCTCATTGAGGAGTGTGAATAAGCGAATTGAGTAAGGAGCTCCCTCTTCATGGCTATGTGCAGAACTGTGCTTGTAGGCTGACCAACTCACAAAGTCCCCGTGTAAGCAGTATTATTGTGGGTATGTAACATGGGAGGGCAGGTTTGACAGAGCGTGTAACACTGTTGTTGGGGACCCTGGCTAAAAGGAGCTTCCCTTGACCTGTTCTAAGACCTTCCAGGGAGGAGTCCCTGCCACCAGGCTCATCACCACCCGAGCCCAGAGGGGAACATGCTGAGGCAGGAAAGCACAGGCTATGCTTTTCACTTGTGTCATTATGGTTGGTAATAAAGAAGCTTTTGGCAGTTCTCACAAAGTGAGATATTTTTTGTACTCATACTAGTGTTTACAATTGGCTAGTTGTTTCCAGTAAAGAGTGGACCCCAATCCAAAGGCCTGTTTGGTCTCCTGGCTGTGACAGTGGGAATTGGAGGTCCTGAAGAAGGAGGTGGATAGACTTGTGCACCCGGCCAGGCCATTATTCTCCTTTGCACCTTTTCTCACACCCTGCTCAGGCTTCCCTTCTTTCAGCTCTTTTGTCCTGTTTGTGGGCTGAGGTTGTAGAGGCCACAGAGGAAGAGTGTGAGCTTGAAACTGCCTGTTTTCTTCTGGTTTTCTATCTCTTCTACTGGTCAAAGAGATGGTTTGTCTCAGCTCCTTCACCTCCCATTATGAAGGTGAAAGGAGATCCCAAAGGCTTCTCAAATTGAGAATTTTATTCCTTAAATATGGCTATTTTCATTTATAGCATTCTTTGGGGAAGCCTGTGATATAAGGTATAGGTTTCTTTATCTCTTAGAGTGTCCTGGTCCCATTCAATTTAGTGCAGCATGAGGGCAGTGGTATTGAACTTTGACATTAAGTGGAGTTATTAGTTGTTCTTTTAAAAATTGAACTAATTGAATTAATGTTTCTCGGCAGCCCTGTTTGAGGGAAAAAAATTAATTAATGTGTTTTAAAATGAGAAAGTTTTAGGCTGGGCACAGTGGCTCACACCTGTAATCCTAACACTCTGGGAGGCCGAGGCAAGAGGATTGCTTGAGGTTAGGAGTTCAAGGTCAGCCTGAGCAAGAGAGAGACCCCCATCTCTACAAAAAAATAGAAAAATTAGCTGGGTGTAGTGGCATGTACCTGTAGTCCCAGCTATTCAGGAGGCTGAGTCAGGAGGATTGCTTGAGCCCAGGAATTTGAGGTTGCAGTGAGCTATGATGATGCCACTGTACTATAGCCGGGGTGACTGTCAGCGAGACTTTTGTTTCCCAAAAAAACACAAAAAGACAAAGTTTTAGAAATAGAGGACAGATTAATGGTTGCTAGGAGTTAGGGGTGGGAATTAGGGGAAGGAGGTGGTGGTTATGGTTATAAAAGGTAACACAAAGGATCTTTGTGGTGTTGAAACTGCTCAGTGTCTTGACTGTGGTGGTGGAAATAGGATCCTATACAGGTGACAGAATTGTAGAACTTAATACACATAGACATGCACATATACACACACACATAGATGAGTGTATGAAAAACTGGGGAAATCAGAAGTTTTAAAAATTAACTTTAGGGAACTTGAGGGGATGGATTCATTAATTGATTGAAATAGGGTCTCCCTCTGTCACCCAGACTGGATTTCAGTGGGGTCATCCTAGCTTACTACAACTTCAAACTCCTGGCCTCAAGTGATCCTCCTGCCTCAGCCTATCTAGTAGCTGGGACTATAGGTGTGCACCACCACACCTAGGCTAATTTTTCTTATTTTTTTGTAGAGATTGGGTCTTGCTGTGTTGCCCACACTGGTCTTGAACTCCTAGCCTTAAGCAATCCTCCTGCCTCGGCCTCCCAGAATGTTAGGATTATAGGCATGAGCCACTATGCCAGGCCAGGCTATATTTATTTATACTCTGGAATGTTGTAAAATCATTATTTAAATTTATCTACATTAAAAACAAAATATCTTGCAAAACAGAAATTAAATTGATATAAAACATGTCCCTGTTCAAATTTTGGGCTTAAATTGCAAACATAAAACTGAGCTCAAAGGAGACTTGAATAGATATCTGTTCTTTCAGAGGAAAGAAGGTTACAGTCCTGCTGGTTTTTTGTTTTGATTTTTTAATAAAGAGAATACTGATGAGAAGCAAACATGAAGAGCCAGTTTTTTGCCTTCGTCATGCAGTTGGGTCAGTTTAGCCAAAGTGGCCTGGTACAAGCTCTGGCAGCTTGAGCATGGGTGCTTCCTTCTGTAGTGAGGGCTGCCGCCTCCTGTCCAAAGGCTCTGCCTAGGGTGGTTGTAGGGCGGGAGATAGAGAAGGAGGGAGGTCCTAGGAGAGATTCCCTGAAGGAATGGAGTGAATGGCCACAGGTCTCCTGTCTCGGTGCAGTGCCTAGATGCATAGGCCTCACCAAGGAGCTGGAGTCCTGTTTTTCACTATAACCTTTTTCCATTACAATCAATAAAAATTAATGGAATTATTAGGAAACCTGAGAATTCCCCAGATACCCTAAGGGAAATCCTATTGTATTAATATGACTGAAATCCTCAAGATTGGCTTATAAATCTTTTTCAGTGATTGTTTTCTACCCTAAGAAATGAGTCTCTACTGCCTATACTGAACTTGGAAAGTAAAAAGCCTCCAAACACTAATTTTTAGATGAAGGGAAGAGCTAATGCTGAGAAGCAAGGCACTTAATCATGAGAGTTAACTCATGACACATGACCACAGAGAGATTTGGGACAGCGTGCAAGCATCAGTCCTGCTCACCAGGTGTGCTGCTATAAGGGCTTGGCAGTACACGTGGTGTGTGGGACTCTCCTGGCATCTAGCACTACAGTGGAAAGAACCTCCGTGGCCATATACACACATGCCCAGGCAGAGGGCTTGCTCTGAAGGTGCTCTGGCTGCCAGACCCTCACGGAGGAACTCTAGAACCTAGCATAACTGTTCTCTACCAAAGCATTGTCGGCTGGTCCAGACTGAGGCCACATCGAGGGAAGAGGAGTAATACTGTAGTCTGGGATAAAGCCAAGGGCCTTTTTACAGATGAGTTGTTTGTAGGAACCTCAGGAATGGCTCAGACAGGCTGTATCTGTCCACACCACCACTGCCACTGGCCTCCCAAGGCCTTAGGCTAGACCCAGGCCCATCTCATCAGCAGGCTGCCCATCAGGTTTAATTTCCCTCCACAGGAACAGACCTTTTTGTGACAGGCTGGGTCACTTGGGAAAGAGTTCTTCTGTACCAAGCAAAGAGGGTGAGTCCCCTCTTGCAGTAACCAGGGTTTGCCCAATATTAAACATCTAGTTCATTCATTTACCCTGCTCTAGGCACCAGAAATTCAGCAACCACCCTGGCATTCTTTTTGTGGATATAGACAATGAACAAATAAGTGGGAAAATATGTATAGCTGCTGACTGATGCTTTGGAGAAAAATTGGAGGAAGGGGCAGAGAGTGCCAAGAGAGAGGGTTGCTACCAGGGGTCCTCAAACTTTTTAAACAGGGCCAGTTCACTGTCCCTCAGACAGTTGGAGGGCTGGACTATAGTCTTAAAAAACTGTGAACAAATTCCTATGCACACTGCACATATATTATTTTGAAGTAAAAAACAAACGGGTAAAAACACCTGCATGTGGCCTGCAGGCCATAGTTTGAAGATGCCTGACATAGGCTGTATAAAGTCAGAGGATGCCTCTCTCATAAGATGCCCCTTGAATAGAGACATGAGGGAGTGAGCCATGCAGATACTGAGAAAAAGAACATTCCAGGCAGAGGGGACAGAGAGTGCAGAGGTGAAAGTATGCCTGGCATGTTCAGGGAAGAGCCAGGAGGCCTAAGTGGCTGGATTAGGGCAAGGGAAGGTTTGGTAGGAGATGAAATTCTTCCCTGCTTTGTGGGGGGTGAGATCATAGAGAGCTGCCTGGGCCATCGTGAGGGCTTTGGCTTTCAGGTGGAGTGAGATAGAAGCCACTAGAAGATTTTGAACAGAGAAGTGACATGACCTGACTCTGGATTTAGCATATCCCTCCAGCTTCTGTGTTGAAAACAGACTGGAGAGAGGAAAGGACAGAGCAGGGGAAGGCTGTTGGAGTGATCTAAGCAAAAGATGGTAGCAGTTTGGACCCAGTGAGACATGGGAGTGTGAGCAGTGACCTCTTCTAGTTATATTTTGAAGACAGAAAAAAATGGGGTCAAAGAAGACTCCAAACAAATCTTTGGGTCTAGCATCTGAAAGAGTAGCATCCTCTCAGCTAAGGAGAAGGCCTTGGGAGGAGCAGGCATCACAGGAGTGGGATCATGAACATACTAGGTTCTAAGTGAAGATACCAAAGTGGCTCTGTAAGTCTGGAGTCTGAAGGGAGTTCCAGGCCAAATGTATGAATTCGAGCTGTGTTTGACTTGTTTCTGCTGACCTGGACAGGTCCTGAGGATCCCCCTTTGTCTCTTGCCTACATGTTCTGTGAGGTGGGAAGGAGATAAAAGAGCTATTAAAGCAAATGGACACAGAGCCAGGGGTGGTGACACACCGCTGTAGTCCCAGCTACTCAGGAGGCTGAGGCAAGAGGATCATTGAGCCCAGGAGTTTAAGGCTGCAGTGTGCTATCATCACACCTGTGAATAGCCACTGCACTCCAACCTGGACAACTTAGTGAGACGCTGTATCTATAAGAAGTAAAAATAAATAAAAATAAAAGAAAGAAAACAGATCATGGCAGGAGTTCCTAACTTGATTAGAAAACAGGCCTAAAGATGCCATGTCCTGCCCTCAGAGCCCCAGGATCACTCACCTATAAGCTTCCTTTTACCCTCAAAGCAGGTTGGCTCTTCTACCTACTCTTATACAGTTGAGGACTAATAGAACATGGGAATGCAGGAACCTTTGTGAATTCCAGGGGCTCTGAATCATGAAGTGGGGTGACACGAAGGAACTGAAAGGCAGGCTCCTCCTTTTGGTTTTCCTTCCACCGGTGCTCACTCAGCCATTCAGCATTCCCATCTTCTTCCACTTTGCAATGCCAATGAATAAACTAATCATTCCCTTTTTTTCCCCCCAGCTACACAGATGTTATTGATGTTGTCCAGGCCCTACAGACCCACCCAGACTCAAATGTTAAGTCCTCCTTTACCATTGGTGCCATCACAGCGTGCGTGGATCCCCTGAGCTGCTACATGGAGCACAGGTAGATACTTGGGACCACTTCTAGCCCACAGCATGTAGTGTGTTTAAGTGTACCAAAGTAATTTTTGTCCACCCTCCAGAAGGAGACACATCTTTATATGTGGTTGTCTTTGGTAATGTATCAGTCACCTCGTATGTAGTAAATGTCCAACTCTTTGATTACTGCTAGGTCCTTAAAAGACCCCTTTGAACTGGTGGCTAAGAAAAGAGAGGAATTATAGAATACAGACTTTGCTTTTGTGAGAGCAAGAACCATTTCTGTTTAATGCTTAGTAATACTAAATGCTCATGAAATGTCTATTGAATAAATGGGTATTCCAGCATGTGTGTACCAGATGTTGTCAAAAAATAATTCAAATAAATAAATAAGATATAGAAGAACTGAAGATGAACATAGCTATTTAAATAAAGAAGTAAGGCTAAAATTGAGTGAATATGGTTATGGAATATTAAAAATGTAAGTTACAAAATCAGGGGTAAATAATAGAAAGTATGAGTATACTAATTTCATCATCTTTTTATATTGGGAGATCAAAAATATTATTTAAGTCAATAAATCAAAATTACTGATTTGCTCATTTTTTAGATATTAATGAGAAATTTCCAAATTTACTTCTGAATTTCCTTTAGAAAGGAATTTACTGTAGTGGTTTACTAATGTTTTCTTGGAAAACTAATGATGAGCCCATGATGCACCTGGAATAAAATGAGAATTATGGGAACTATGATCAAGAATAGAAAGTTACTAAATAAAGTTAAACCCATTCCATTAAAACCCATTAAGTGACCAGAGTTAAGTGCATACATTTAAAAAAGAAAAAAAATATCTTACCCAGCCAACTTTAGTGGATTAACAATATGGCTACAGGAAAAGCAGCCTCTCCCATTCAAGAATTGAAAGGTTTAATCTATTTCTTAGCCTTTGAATTTAGGCTTGGGCCAATGGGACAATGATATTGCATGAAATAAGCGGAAGCTTAAAAAGTACTAACACATTGGGACTTGCCCTCTCTTACTTCTGGGAGTTGAGACCACTGTATGAATAAGCCCAAATGAGGCTCTTAGCAGATAAGAGACCACGTGGAGAGGCCCAGCCATCTCCTGCTGTCTGGTCTGAGGCCCCATGTGGGCCTGTGAGTGAGACCATCTTGGACAATCAGCCCCAGCTGTACTGCCCCAGGCCAAAATAACTACCCAGCCAGCCCATAGAATCATGAGAAATAATAAATTATTATTTTAAGCCACTTATTTTTGGTGTGATTGATTACACATCAGCAGTGTAGGAAAATAAGTACATTGATACACTGTTAATAGGAATAAAATGATATAATCATCTTTGGAGACAAATTTGGCCATTCCATTGTTAGAATTTTATCTTACAGTTTTATTTGTACAAATGTGCAAAAATATGCACATTTATGTTTGTTTCGGGGATAATTCTTAATTCCAAACAATAGAACCCACTGCAGCATGTTTAAATTGAAGGGGATTTATTAAAGGACATTAGATAGCTTTCAAAGTCTCCAAGTGGGCCAGAGAGGCTGTATTGGCCAGGCAGCCAGGTGCTCAAGCCTCCCATAGGACTGCCCAGGTAAGTAGGTATCTCCACTACCTCCTTCCTCAGAAAATGCAGTCTGTTCACCATACATTGCCTCATTCATCTGGCTCACTGCCATTTGGAGTCTTGGTGAAACTTAAGTCACATGTGTGTACCAAACTATAAGCAAGGCTGCAAAAGCATTTTGCCCTATACAAAAGCAAGTAGGCTTCCTAACGAAGCCTGGGAAAGGTCTTTAGCAGGTGCTGGGCAGTCTGAAACATGGCAGATGTGCTCTGCAATACTCCAGGCTAAATAATACTATGTATATCAGAGAACCAGAAATGTTTATTTATATTTGCATAGGAAATATCTAGAAGGATATACCAAACTGTTAATAGTGGTCCCTTCTGGGAAATGGCCATTGCCTCTCAAGGCAAGTGTTAAATGATGGGAAGACCATTTGATTATTTATAGTATGTATGTGTATTGTTTTTTTTTTTATGTATTGCTTTTTTTTCCCACGTATCAGAAGATTTACCAAAGTGGCAACTTTGGTACTAACAGCCCCTGGTAGAGTCAGATGAGTTTAATTCTTCTCATTTTTTTCGAAAATATCCACTTTACTCAAAAATATATCTCCTTCCAAAAAGACCAACTGTTTCTCCATCTCTAAAGAGCTGGTCCTATCCCCAGTGTCCCCCTCCATCAACATTCCACCTAGAATAGGCCATGTAGGACTTCTGTGGGGCTCCTGGTTTGGGGAGCTCTGACACAAAGTTATGAAAGTCCATTGAATAACCATGGCTATCCTTAATGTTCAGTGCTTCCTGCCACTTACCTCTTTGAGTAAGTCATCTTGCTTATCAATGATATTCACATTTTTGTGGGAAATAATCAGTGACAGCTCTGAGATGAATGGTTTTTAAATATTTCTCTCTTTTTTACCCCCAGATTTCTTTTCCCTAAATGTCTTGACCAGTGTTCACAAGGTAAGCAATATGCTTTATGGCGTGCATGCCTTTCAAATTCAATAGAATTCTTCAACAGATACATATTCCTACCTGCCATTCTGAAATCTAAAGCAAATGAAATTGGTCCAGGGAAAATGTTGACATCTTTATTATTATTTTAATTTTTTTTTCAGAGTCTTGCTCTATTACCTAGGCTGGAATACAGTGACATGATCATAGCTCACTGCAGCCTCCACCTCCTGGGCTCAAGCAGTCCTGCTGCCTTAGCCTCCTGAGTAGCTGGGACTCCAGATGTTGCCACCACACCCAGCTAATTTCTAAATTTTTTGTAGAGATGGGGTATCGCTATGTTGTTTGGGCTGACCTCAAAGTGCTGGAACTATAGGCATGACCCACCATGCCCAGCCACATCTTTACTTTTATCACATTTGATAGGCATATTTCTTCTAAGAGCTTGTCTCTTAATGGCAATAAATTGCCATGGTAGTACCTCTCCTGAGCTTGGCTCAAGTCTGCCCTGGCCTTCCAGCTAATGTCAGTGGACTGAGGATGTATTCCTAGCCTCTGGATCAGCAAGATCTCAATGTACTTCTCCTGTCCCAAGAAGGCAGCATTTGGCCCAGCAGGACCTGTCTTTCTTACTACCTCCCTTACACACTGGAATTTTCCACACTTCCTTGATAATATTGAAAAAACTCCACCCATCCTACAGGTTGCACTCAATCTTGCAACATCCTACCACCTGGCAACTCTGGAGGCAGCACTTTCTAATCATATTATCTGATGCCTGGAGAGCCACAATAAATTCTAAATTCCCTGTAGTGGTGATGAAATGCTCATTGTTATCAGGAGACATGCCTGGGGTCTGGGCTTCCTGAGCCAGTCCAGCAAGCAGAAATCAGACGGAAGAAAACAACTCTCTGTCCCTAGCACAGTTTCGCCTGTTGATCCCGTTGCCAGTCTGCAGGGAGCGGAGGCAACAGAGCATACCAGAGCTGTTGTCTTGGGAAACAGCTGAGCAGGGTGCTGCCTGGGGCCAAAGGCTTGTCCCTGGAGGGAGGAATGTGTATATTGGACTGCTATACCAGGTAGTCTCAGGTCCAGCTTTTAGAGGCCCCTGTTACTTTCCAGGCACTGCACCCCAGAAGCAGGAGGGAACAAAGGTCATCTGGGTCCATCCACGATGTCCACCCCAGGTAGATTAAGGACATTTTGTGGAGGTTGGATCAGTAGGATCTGGTGACAGAGTAGACATGGGGCATGAGTTGGAAAGAGGTATCTAAGATGACTCCTAAGTTTCTAGTATAAGAGATTGGGAAAGTGGTTGGTACCTGTCCTTGAAATAGAAAGCACAGGAGAAAACAGAGGTCCAGGAGACAACCAAGGAGGGCTGTCTAATCCTAAGATACATGTTTGAAAGTCACAAAGTTAGTGCCACGGACTATAGTCAGCCAGTATCCAGATGTAGAGTTGAAAAGGTCAGAAGGGAAAGTCCAGGGTACTAAAAGGAAAAGAGGAAATAGCATACTCGGAGGAAGGAGGATGAGGTCAGTGATGTCTAATGCTGTAGAGACCTTGAGGGAAGGAAAGAGAAAAGCCATTGGCTCTGCAAGTGTGAAGGACACTGGTGACCTCCGCAGGAGGATGAGTGGAGAGGTGAGGACCGAAGCTACTTCTAACTGGACCAATGGCCAAGTGAGATACTAGAAGCCAGGAATTGTGGATAGTATTTTAGGGTGTTTGGGGCTATAAGAAGGGTGATCGCTAGAGAAGACTACTTCCAAGAATCGTTCTTTATGAATGATTTACTCTTCCTTATTTGCTGTTGAGAGAGCCTGCGGGCTGGAGGGAGACACTAGGCTTGGTAGAGTGGATCCCTGAGGAGGAGGGGGTGGGGTCTAGAGCGGAGACTGGGAAAGAAGCTCTTCCATTGAGAAGAACTTCACGTAGGGGCAGGGGAAGTTAAGAAAGTGTTTGCCTAGGTGTGCCAGGGATTTGGTGACCTGTCCAGCCCCAAGCCCTGTCTTGCTGGTGCCTTCTTTTCTGTCAGAGCCCCTTGTCCACCATGTGATAACTGCCGCCTTCATGCACTTTGGCTCCTTAGCACCGTCTGCTTCGGTGCCCCTCTACATTTTTGTGTGAAGGACAAGCACAGATGGTCAGGCTTTGCTGGCAGAGAGCCTTGGGGAAATGCTCTCTCTTCATTCCATGAATCAGGGGCACCCTTGGGCCGGACTTATGAGAGGAAGGCCCCTTTTAGTCTGAATCCTTTGAGGCCAAGACAGACCATGTTCTCTCTAGCACTTGGTAGGCATATTTCATTAACACTGCCTTCCAACTCATTGTTCAAAGGCAACTTGTCAAATTCTGTGCCTGTGTATAGGTAGGGGTATGATCAGATGTGGGCAGATGACCTTGAGACCACATATGCTGTTTTCTGAACTCTCCAAGGGGCTCTTGGAGTAACAGTGCCTTTTTCACCTGGGCGCATGGGACCCTGTGGACTGGCCTGACCAGGATGGCCATGGGCATGGGCTATCTGGGAAGGGAGGAGACAATAGACAAGTATTGGCTGGGTGTGGTGGGTCATGCTTGTAATCCTGGCTACTCTGGAGGCTGAGGCAGGAGGATTGCTTGAACCCAGGCATTCAAGGATGCAGTGAGCTATGCTCGTTCCACTTCATTCCAACCTGGGCAACAGAGAGAGACCCTATCTATAAAAAGCAAAAAACTTGGGAGAGGGGGGCATGAGCAATATATGTAACCTTAACACTTGTACCCCCATAATACACTAAAATAAAAAAAATTTTTTTTTAAAAAGCAAAAAACTTTTTTTAAAAAAAACGAAGTATTTCTTTTCTCCTCAGAGATTTGGTGGCTGGCTTGGAAGTGAGATCTGCCACCAGTAGATAAACACTTTATGTCCCAAGGGAGCATATTGCCTCCTTTTGCTCCTGTTCATGAGTCAGGCTCCCTGATTCATTGCTTTTAACAACAAAGGATTATTTTACAATGAGAAGAGGACTATGTTACAGCCCAAGATGATGTGTATTGTAGAAATTCAAGGAATAGGAAACAATCTCAGTACTTAAACAGCAAGCAAGACTCGTTATAATGCTGGCTTGATAGCAGGGTAGAGATATTTTACTCATTTTAAAAGTATAGATATCTGAAGGCATGATGCTCAAAAATATAATAAAAAAGAAAAGTATAGGTAGAAGAATGACCATCTATCATATTCCATTTGAATGCAAAAAAAAAAAAGTGACCTTCATTTTCTTCTGTGCTGTAGGAAGCCTTTAGCCCAGATGGGATGGTCAGACAGACCATAGGGTTATTTCTCCACTCTTGAGAACAGACCAGGCCAGACTGCCTGCTCAGACTGGTGAGACATTGGCCAGATTTGGGTGTCTGCTGCTTGATACAGAACACAAGGAAGCTCTGGCCCAAACAAGGTGAAAACCACTCACTGTGGCTTGTTCCCCGTGTTGTAGATAACTGCTGTACCTGCCTCGCAGATGGCATTTCCTCTTGGCAGGTGGCAGTTTTCATAGCTGGCCTGAGGAATGCTGGGGATAATCCTCTTGCTTATTTCCCTATAAAGTAAAGCCCCTTTTCTGTGCCCAGTTCCTGCCCAGATTTGTCCACATGGTACAAATGCAGTAGGCAGAACTTTATGTAAGGTGTGTCTGTCAGAGACCCAGCTCCCAGCCTTTTCTTGAGCAAGCCAAGTCTATGCTTGTGACCTTGGTACACAATCCTCAGGTGGCCACATTTGTACTGGTCTGATTCTCCCATTTCTTTTGTCCAAGAAGATACCATACAGAGTCCAGGGCCTTCAGCCGTCTTCACTCTGCCTTTCCTGGCTCCCCACTGTAAGACCCACCACAACCATTCTGTCTTCCACCCTTGGGAATCTTGCAGGCCCCTTGCAGGATCTGGCTCCTATTTCTGCTCTCTCCGGAATGTGTTGAGCCTTCTAGGATCCTACCTGCTTCCCCATTGTGCCACATTTCGGGCCTGGCCACCTCTGACCTTGCCTTCCTCGGTTTCCAGAGGCCCCACTTCCTGTGGCTGTACCATGACATGGGTTTATGGCAATAGGCTCTCCAGTCTGGCCTTGTTGCCGCCTCTGAAGCCTCCAGATTGCCCTCTCTAAATGGGAATGAGAGCACAGTACCACCAGTGTCACCTTCATTAGGAGGTTTTTCTAACTAGCTAAGAAGTTCTATCTTAATGTTAAAGCTTCTGAACAGAAAGCGTATGTGAAGGACCTTTTTTTTTTTTTTTTTTTCAGAGTCTCACTCTGTTGCCCGGGCTAGAGTGCCATGGCATTAACCTAGCTCACAGCAACCTCAAACTCCTGGGCTCAAGTGATATTCCTGCCTCAGCTTCCCAAGTAGCTGGGAGTACAAGCATGCACCACCATGCCTGGCTGATTTTTTCTATATATTTTTAGTTGGCCAATTAATTTCTTTCTATTTTTAATAGAGATGGGGGCTCGCTCTTGCTCAAACTGATCTCAAACTCCTGACTTTGAGCAATCCACCCACCTCGGCCTCCTAGAGTGGACCTTTTTAAGATAGAATAGGTCAGGATGTGGCTCACGCCTGTACTCCTAGGACTCTGAGTGGCCAAGGTAGTTCGCTTGAGCGAGCTCAGGAATTCAAGACCAACCTGAGCAAGAGTGAGATCCTGTCTCTACAAAAAATAAAAAAATTATCCAGGCATGGTGGTACTGTAGTCCCAGCTACTCAGGAGGCTGAGGCAGGAGAATCACTTGAGCCCAGGAGTTTGAGGTTTCAGTGAGCTATGATGAATGAGATGCCACTGCACTCTAGCTGAAGTGATAGAACAAGACTCTCAAAAAAAGAAGAAGAAAGAATACACAAGATACTGATGTATTCTCCATTTGAATTCCCTTAGTCATGTGCTGTTACCACAACTAAGTCATACATGAAGATCTTGAGGATAGAGATTTTGAATGTGGGAGAAGTGCTTAAGAAAGCAAGATTCTT